CGCCCCCCAACACGCCAGTGTGTCTCACCCTAGGCCATGAGTAGCTCTGGGAAGGGCACTGGGCACACCTACCACTGGTTCACTTTATTCTGAATTTCATCTCAATAGACTCACGCAGCGTGTCCTCTCTTTCTGAGAGCGGCTACCTTTGATCGACGTACTGCCCACGAGCGTCATCCAACCTGGGCGGATCAGCACAGAAGCTCTTCTTGATGAGTGGCTTTTCGATGTTCGAATGGAAGAGGGCACATCGGTGCATGTCTGGTCTCTTCTTGATGGTCTTGGCTGCCGTCACCAGGCCGCTGCATGCGTTCGTGTGCCCGACCTCCTTCAGATGTGTGCGGTCGTTTCTCCTGTGTGTCTACCCAGGAGGAACACTGCCGTCACAGCAGTGAGTGTTTAGCTTTACCGTGAACTCCAGAGTGGTTGCTTGAATACACTCCAGTGTGTGTTTAATCCTCACGACAGCCGCGAGTGTCTGTCAGTCAGCTAGCTCCCAGTGGCTTCTGAGCAGCAACTCTGCGCCAAGCCCTGTTCTAGGAAAGAAACAGCAAAGACGAGACACATGATATTCCCTTCCTTGACACATTCCCACGAGGAGACGAGCAAACACCTGAGTAAGGGAAGAGGACAACCTCAGGGGTCAACGGTACGGGGGTGCTTCTGCTGTCGCTGTGAGGGTGGCCTCCCTGGGGACTAACAACCGAGGAAGCACCTGAAAGGTGAGCAAGGCTTGGCTGTGCACAGCGGGAAGATTGCTGGAACTGGAGGTCCGCCAACAGAAGCCAAAGCCTGGCGGTCTGGGGAGAGAAAGAGGCACAAGGCTGGCACAGTCGGTCACTGAACTGAAGAACAGATGTGGAGAGACCGGTTTTCCGCTATGTGCCGGGCCTATTCTAGGCTCTGGAGACCCCGCAGGGAATGAGACATAAAGATGCCCTGTCCTGGGACAAAGAGGTAAGGCAGCTGGGAGAGCCTGGATGAGGAAACAAAGGTCAAATGCCAAGTAGGACTGGATAGAAAGGGACCTGGGTCTTCCCGGGAGTTGTGGTGGGAGACAGGGAAGAGGGAGGTTTGCTTTAATCTCTCTCTCTCTCTCTCTCTCTCTCTCTCTCTCTCTCTCTCTCTCTCTCTCTCTCTCTGTGTGTGTGTGTGTGTGTACATGAACACAGGCACACAATATAACTATAGAGGTGTAAGGAACACATGTAAGGCCTAGGGTGAACAACCCTGGTCAGGAGTGATAAGCAATAGAATGATGTAAGTAAACCATGAATGGAGTAGTGATAAGCTATAAGCTATGTGTGGAAGTAGGGATAAGACTAGAAACCTAGCCAGAAAGGGATATAAAAGATGAAGCCTCAGACCCGACCAACAGAGCTCGTCAGGACCTCATGTGAGACGACTCTCCTCCTCCAGAGACGTGAGGTCCTGTCACCAGTGCAGACATGGCTGACCTGAGGAAGGCTGACCCAAGATCCAGGGGAACAGACATGGCACATCCAGACCTGTTCACCTGGAGAGGTGTACACCTGCTTCCAATTGGAAGACGGGATGAATACTGCTTGTAATGTTACTGTGTGAATAAATGAGTGTTACACCAAGTCTGAATCAAGAGTGATTATTCCTCCCCCGTAACCGGGATATGTGCTCACTACAAGAGGTAAGAGGTTAACCTCTCTGTGGTGTTGCGCCTCGTTTGACGTGCGTCTCTAGCTGTCCACCACTGCTGGCCCTTGAGCCTTAGGGAATCACCCCTCTTGTCTCTCCTGCCCATCTCCTCACAGGAGCACTGTGAGTACAGCCTCTCCGACTCTGTGCAGTTGTACTTGGGTGCTGGGGCCCTGAGCTCTGATTCCTGTCCTTGCATGGCATGTATCTTATGAGTCATCTCCCCAGCCCATCCTGGAGGATTTTAAGCAGAGGTGAGAATGGTAGATTAGCCAGGAAGTGAGGGCAGAGGCAAAAAGATCCATTGGTGATTTGGGCTAAGGACTGCAAACTGGTGGCAGCCTAGGCTGTGGGGACCACGAAGATGACCTGCACCAAGGGTACATCGTGGAGGTGGATCTGACAAGCTACAATGAGGGATTAATTGCAAAGTGAATAAAAATTTAGTTTTATTAAATTTGTAAAATTTGATAAAATTAATAAATTTAATAAAAATAAATGTATTTTTATATTTATTTTATCATATTAATTATATTACATGATATAATTAAATGTTTTTAATAGGTTTTCTGCCTTCTAATAGTAAGTTTCTCCACTGACACAGCAAGCTAGGTCAAGCTGAATTGAAAAAGTATAACAACAGATTTATTGAAAGCAACTCCTGGGCAGGTTCCCTGGTCCCAAAGATGGAGGCCAGAGAAGTCCCACCCCCAAACTAAAGCAGGGAGATTTTATAGGTTGTAGGCGAGGGGTGATGATGTGTCCACCACAAGCTGGGTTTGTGCCCAAGTATGGTCAATAGCTGAGTGCTCAGGCAGGGATTAAGCTGTTGGCCACTTCAGGGGAGAATCTGCTATATTCACCAAGAATGCAGAACTGGGCTTTCTGGTGCCTTTTCTTTGTTCAGAGACTCTCTGAGTGGGTGGGGTGGAGAGAGAGAGAGAGAGAGAGAGAGAGAGAGAGAGAGAGAGAGAGAGAGAGAGAGAAGAATGGGACTTCTGGATTGTGCAGGGGTGAGCTGGAGGCTCCAACCAAACATTATTATATTTAATTATGTATAATATAACTACAATTGTACAGTATTCATTATATCATATTTATTTGTTATAAATTAAAAATAAAAAATAAACTCTGCTCCAGCTTAAATTCTAGTCAGTTGGCCTGAGCACCGAGCAGATGGTGGCGGCAGCACCAAGGCTGGAAAGACTCGGCAAGAGGGACTGGGGTGGGGGATAAGCACTGGCTCCATTTGCTAACCTGGAGGCACAAGTGAATGTTCAAGGACTAAACCCCCGAGCTCAGAGGAGAGCGAGACTGAAGACATGCTGGAGTCATCGGCACACAGGCAGCTGTGACAGCTGACCAGGGTGACCTAGCGGGAGAGAGCAGGGCAAGAAGGAGATGGAGATGTCTAGGAGTAGCTGAGAACTTGAAGATCCATTTTACAGATGGGGAAACCGAGGCTCTGAGAAGCTAAGCAAATTGTCCCAGGTCACAGTGTGACGAAGCTTGACCTACTCCAGGGTCTGCGTACTTGCCAGCTTCACTTCAACACCTGTGGTTTCTCAGCTCCGCCATGCAGATGTCCTGTACTCTCAAGCAAATTAGCCTCTGGGAAGCTCCTCTCCCCGTCTGTGAGGTGAGAGCAATGATAACCACACACACCACTTAGGACAGTGTGAGCATACAATAAACTAATAGAATGGAAACGCTCCGAACCATGGCTGGCGCACAGGGACAGTGGTCCGTGGTGCTGTGTGAGTCACAGGGAAGAAAGGCCAAGAAGCTCCTGTCTCCACAGCCGGGCAAGCTGGCTCCATTGCCACTGTACAGGCAGGGGACTGTGGGGGACAGGCCTGTCCTAGAAACTCTTTTATACTCGTTACCAGGGCAACCTTTGGTCCTGGATAAATCTAGCCTTGTCCTTATGCAAGTGAGCTGTGATGATGTCTTTCTACTTTGGTGGAAGAGACAAGGTCTCCCAGTGTGGCCCTGTGTAGTGTTCAAACTGAGAGACAGAGGGCTGGTGCCTCCACGTGAGCTCTTGGCCTCTTGCCGTCTAGGTTGGCCCATCTGGGAACTCTCTTTGGCCAAGGGTCAGGATGGTGCCTACTGGTTACTTAAGTTAGTTGGTGTTGAGTACCTCGCAGCCATAAAAGTGTAGCTAGCTGATATCAGGTCCACTGGAGTTAATTTCACAACCTTATCTGAAAGTCATTAAGTGTTATCAGTTTCGTGAATGATGAACCCAGAAAATAAAAAGTTTCAGGGTATACCAAGATGGCCCAGTCAGTCAAGTGTTCATTGTGCACACACAGAGACTTGAGTTTGATCCCCAGCGCCTGTGTGAGAAGCTGGGAGTGTCGGTCTGCATTTGTGGTTCAGTGCTGGGAAGATGAGGAGCCTTCCTGGGGCTTGCTGGCCAACCCTAGCCAAACTGGGAGGCCCCAGGTCCCAGTGAGAGACCCTGTTTCCAGAAAAGTAGACATCCTCTAACAAATTACACCCAACTTTGACCTCTACACACACACACACACACACACACACACACACACACACACACACACACACACACACACACCTACCTCAGCCCCTCAGGTTCTACCCTCACAGGAAAGAAGACAGACAATGAAAACAAATCATAATTTCCTAACACTTGCTTGGGACTCACCTCCCGGGTCCTTCCCCAGCCCTGTGATATTCTGATCCGAAAGCACAAAGTCCTTCAGACAGCCACGGGCTGGAGCCGTGTGAGGACATTCTTGCATGACCTACTTGCCTTAAAGGAATCAAGGTAGAAAGGAGGGAGGCTGTGCTCTTCCCACACCTCAGATCTGACAGCCCAGCTTTTCTAAGCCCACAGCGTGCAGCTTTTGATTAGGGTAGAGGGAGCAGGCCCAGGAGGTCCAGACCCAGCAGCAAATGTGGGTTTGAAGTGTTATTCTCGGCTGGCTTGGCCAGTGTCTCCATTGTTCTCAAAGCCTGGAGCAGATGCCTTAGGAAAAGCTAACTCTCTCAGTGCCTCACAGGAGCTTCCGTCTGGCTGGAGGTTCTTTAGTCTGAAGGAGGAATCAGCGGTGAGCCATGGAGGCGAGCGGCAGAGCAGGCTCAGGTTGGCACTGGGCGTGGCAGCTCCTTCATTAGGTGGCGGTGCTGGCGGCTACAATCAGCCCCCGGGAGGACGCTAATGAGCTCCCATCCGCGGCAGATGGTGGAAGGCTAGCTTCTGATTTCTCTTGTTTCGCTGCTTTTTCTTTCCTCAAAAAAATGTGCTAACCAAGACACTCCTTTCTTGTGCTTGATTTTAATAAAGCCACATATGAATTTTTAACCCTTTTTAACCTGACCTTCCTCAGAGCATGAATTCAAGGAGCAATAGACTCGTGGAACCCAGGGAGACTCGCCTCCTAGCATCTTTCCTCTGCTCCTTTCTATGATGTCTACTTTTCCTTTTAGCACAGAGGAATCACACACACACACACACACACACACACACACACACACACACACACACACACATTTGTGAGCCCCGAGGACCCTGTAGGTGTGGATTTCATTCTCTTTCTGTCTGAGACAGGCATAGGTCATGCTATGGTTAAGTTTTGTTCCCCCTGAAGACAGATAGATACACTACCCTGACACACACACTCACACATGAACTCATGAAGTGAATCCTACAGTCTGTCAAGTTCCTTCCACACGCAGGCACCCCACTAAGCAACACCCAGACATCACTTTAAGTAGGTGCTGTGATCAACCCATTTCATAGATAAGGAAAGGAGGCTAAGGAATTTATCCAAGATCAAATGGCCAGGAAGGGACAGAACCCAAAGCCAGGAAAGTACAATTTCCCAGCCAGAGCTTTCGGGTGGTGTATTCCTCTGTCTTCCCCAGTGAGCAGGTGGATGAATGGCTGAAGACTCCAGGATTTCAGGCATTTGTCTTCATTTCGAATTCTTGTCTGGGGGTGAGATGCTGAGAGGCTCACCAGTGGAGAGCCAAGCAATTTAAAGAGGCATTGTTCCGAACTCAGGGATGGAGGGAAGAATTGTGAAGAGAGCTCCTGCGTAGGAAACCATCTGAAAATGTGATGGCTTAAACCAAAACCACTGTTTCTCCACTCTGTGAGCCAGGGCTCTGGGCAGAGGGTCAGCATCACTCCATGTGAGATGGCCAGACTGTCCAGACCAGAGCCTTGCTCAGATCTCACATAACTCAGGGGCTTGGCATTACCCTCCAGCTCTGCTGAGGTCTAAACAGAAACATCATCTTTCTGTCTCATTCTTTGAGACCCGTCCAGTCAAAGGGTCAGCCTAAATTCAAGGGACGTGGAACAGATTCCTTCAGATGACTCAGTGGCCTGTGTGTAAACATCTTTGCAGACGATCTACCCTGCATGGTGTCGTGGTGGCGGCAGATGGCCAAGTGTTAGGCCGATGGGACAGAAAATCCCACTGTGGCCACTTTGTTGGAAGGGAAAAGATTCTCCTGGAAACCACACTGCCCTCATTCTCTCAACTCGACAAGCAAATGTAGAAGGTGTTTGTTGGGCACGGACTGGCATGGCGCATCTGCTCCTTCAGGTGGTGACCGTCTAGTGGTTCTCTGACCAAGAAGTCCAGCGCAGGCGCAGTACCCTCCCTTGAGCCAAGCAATGTGCACATACTGTCTGCCAGACAGACGTGGGCAAGGGGGAGGGGCAGGCGGTGTCTACCCCACAGAGCACTCAGCCAATGTGCCAGGGGATTGCCAAGTGAGGAAGGCCAAACTAACCTCATCTGCCAAAATAACCAGCTCCATGTCCTCTAACAAAGCCAAACCAATGCTCCATCAGAAAACCCATCAGGGACCTTAAGGACACTCAGGTCCTAACTAGCAGGGCATTTACAACAATGTTATACAACACACCCAAGGGGAAACGTAGGAAGGTAACCTGGTGTCCTGGTCAAGGTTTCTGCTGCTGCAATGACACACCATGACCAAAAGCAGCTTGGGGACTGTCTCAGTTAGGGTTTCTATTGTGAAGAGACACCACGACCACAGCAACTCTTATAAAGGAAAACATTTAATTGGGGCTGGCTTACAGTTCAGAGGTTTAGTCCACTATCATCATGGCAGAAGCATGTGGGCAGACATGGTGCTGGAGAGGGAGCTGAGAGTTCCACATCTGGATCCACAGGAAGAAACAGTGAGCCGCTAGGCCTGGCTTGAGCATCTGAAACCTCAAAGCCCACCCTCAGTGACACACTTCCTCCAACAAGGCCACGCCTCCTAATAGTGCCATTCCCTATGGGCCATTTTCATTCAGACTTCCACAGAGAGGAAAGGGTGGCTTAGCCTTCCAAATCACTGTTCATTGTTGAAAGAGGTCAGGATAAATAAGAACTCAGATAAGGCAGGAGCTGATGCAGAGGCCATGGAGGGTTGCTGCTTACTGGCTTGCTCATCATGGATTCCTCAGAACCCAGGCACCATTCACAATGAGCTGGGCCCTCCCCCATCAATCACTAAGAAAATGCCCTATGGCTGCTGGATCTTACAAAGGCATTGTCTCAATCAAGGTTCCCCCCTTTCAGATAACTCCAGCTTGTGTCCAGTTGAGGTAGAACTAGCCAGCACACCTGAGATGGAAATGTAAAGTGGATTATGACCAGCTGAAGAGTAACTGCAATTTAAGGATTGCCGGGGCAACCTAGGAGAGGACCGAGGCAGAGAAGGGAGGCAGGTGTCCAGGTCGCAGTCTCTAGCAGTCACACTGATAATGAATGAGCATCAGTTAGATGCCTGTCAGGCGATTCGCTTGGTGAGGAGAATTCAGGGTGGAGGAGGACATCCAAAAGCCTACTGTCAAGGCAGGGTGTGGAGGAGGGCGTACTGAGCACAAGTACCACTGTAGTGCTGCAGGATCCAAATGTACTCAGGAAACCTGGCTGGGGGCTTGGACAGGAGCCCCCCCCCCACGTCAGCGGACCCAAGCGATGTCTATGGATTCTGTTAACAACTTAGTTAAAAAACAAACAAAGACTTGTTTACTGAGCCATCCACCCGAGCCTGGGTGGCAGGAGGTGTTCAGCAAGTCTCCAGGAAGGCATGTGACCTCCCATGCCTCACACACACACACACACACACACACACACAGAGCCTAAGGGAGGGAGGTGACCTTTGATCCGTGGCCTCTGGTTCCTAACGCCTTCTGTAGGTGGGGTCTCGGGTCTCAGACTCCATCATCAGCATACCTGGGTAGCTCTTGATTAGGCCGTTGGAGTGGTTTCAGCGGGTGTTCAGATTTGAGAAGAACTCCAAGACAGAGCAGCACACACATGGCAGTTACTTAAAATCTCCAGCCCGTTTGAAATCAAAATTGTCAACGTTTCTGATGGATAACCAGCACACACCCTCCGAGGGGTGTCGGCCACTGTGAGGCCCTCTTGCATGGTCTTGTGCTGTCCTCCCCCCAGTCCTGAGGTAGCCATGACAGTAACTCCATTTTGCAGGAGAAACGGAGGCTTAGAGCATAATAGCCATTGTCCAGTGTCCCAGAACCACCTGGGGGAGATTCAGAGTTGGGGTCAGAATCAGGACTTAGTTCATGCTTGCCAAGCACTCTCCCACTGAGCTGCTCCCGGAGGGCCGTTTCCTTTAGCAGGATAAACAAGACGGAAGCGCGAGGCTCCCCTCCCGCAGTCCCTCTCCTGGCTCTGCTCCCCATACCAGGATCTTGTTAGAAACGCAGGTGTCCCGGCCCTTCTCAGCCCCTGCCCCAAAGCCTGCGTTCAAACACACCCTCCCCCAGGGGGTTGCTAATCGGGTATTTATCATCCTGGTCCAACAGGCACCACCTGGGGAACTTTACCCAGGGCTAGGGTCACACACCTCTGGGTGGTCTGGGTGGGTGGGCCTGGGTGCAGCCTGGCTTCCGGGTTTTTATAGCGCCGCCCTCAGGAGAGTCTCGTGGACTTCAACCTCTGTGGTCCACGGAGCAGAAGCCTGGTGGTGGCGGTGCCGGGCAGTGATGTCACTGCGGCAGAGCCCAAACCGGGGTGGGGACGTTCCAACGACATCAGAGAGGATGCTACGGTACCGGGCTAGTGACAGTGCACGACAGACAGTGGAGGGGTCTCCTGGGCAGCCCTGTCGGCTACGCCAGCAAAGTGGAAGAACGGGTGACCTTTCCGCGTGCCCGGCGCTTCGCGCGCGCGCGCGCGCTCGTGCTCGTGCGCGCGGTGGGG